TTGCCCCGGTGGCGAAGATCAATACCATTAGAATTCTTGTTTCAATTGCTGCAAACAAAGACTGGCCTCTTAAGCAATTTGATGTAAAAAATGCGTTCCTCAACGGATATCTGGAAGAAGAAGTTTATATGGATCCCCCACCAGGTATTAAATGTGAAGGGAAAGTGTGCAAGCTAAAGAAAGCCCTGTATGGAATGAAACAATCCCCACGTGCATGGTTTGGAAGGTTTTCAACATTTATGAAGAAGATTGGATATAAGCAAAGTGATGCTGATCACACTTTGTTTGTGAAAGCAAAAAATGGGAAGGTGACTGCCCTAATTGTTTATGTTGATGACATGGTAGTGACAGGAAATGATAATGTTGAAATGAAGAATCTCCAAAGAGCATTGGCCACTGAATTCGAGTTGAAAGATCTAGGAAGTTTGAAATACTTCTTAGGGATTGAGGTGGCAAGATCAAAGGCAGGAATATCAATGAATCAACGAAAATATGTGCTAGATCTCTTAGCAGAGACTGGGATGTTGAACTGTAAACCGGTAGATACCCCTATCGAAACAAATCACTATTTGGAGATACTTCCCAATCAAATTCCAGCAAATAAAGATCGGTATCAGAAGTTAGTAGGAAAATTGATCTACCTATCTCACACAAGACCAGACATAGCTTATGCTGTGTTTGTGGTCAGCCGGTTCATGCATGCGCCAAGTGAAATTCATATGAATGCAGTATACCGGATCTTGAGATATCTTAAATCATCTCCAGGAAAGGGCATATTTTTTGGAAAAAATCAAGATCACCATGTTAGTGGCTTTACAGATGCGGATTGGGGTGGAGATCGAAATGATGGAAAGTCCACTTCAGGTTATTTCACCTTTGTTGGTGGTAACTTAGTCACATGGAGAAGCAAGAAACAAAAGGTGGTCTCAAGGTCAAGCGCGGAAGCTGAGTATAGAGGAATGGTTCATGGCATTTGTGAACTGTTATGGATAAAGCGGATTCTAAGAGATCTAGGGGTCTCATTAAGATCACCCATGAAGCTATATTGTGATAATGAATCAACAGTGAAGATTGCTAATAATCCTATACAACATGACAGGACAAAGCACGTGGAGATTGACCGACATTTTATTAAAGATCACTTAGAAAGAAATACTGTGGAGCTTCCACATGTAAGCTCTGAGGATCAACTTGCAGATATGCTAACGAAGGCAGTGTGTGGGAGAGTATTTCATAGCTCTCTTGACAAGCTGGGAATGAAGGATATACATTCTCCACCTTGAGGGGGAGTGTTGACGAGAGCTAAAGAATAGGAGTGGTTGTTGTATTCCTTATTAATAGGTTGTAGATAAAAGAGTTAGTTGTTAATACTTGTATAAATGTATGTACTCATTCTCAAGATCAATTTAATTGAAAAAACGCAGGAATTATTCCTCCATACGAATTCTGCTAAATCTCTACACATTGGACCCCTCCACTCGGACATCAGAGAGTGTGACGTGCAAGCCTATAGGTCCCTTTATTCGTTAAAAAAAAACACCATAATTTTTGCAACATGTTACTTACATCCTAAAAGCCATTTCAACTAACTCAAAAAGTTTGTCAAACATCGCCCTATTGATAGGTTTTGGCAAAATAGATACAACAATATCATTCGAAATTACAATCATTTTTCGAGTTAACCCATTTTTCTTGTGAGTGTGATAGCACTAAACAAACCATTACCTATTTATACTATATACAGAGTTAGAGTTGTATTTTATATTTATATTTATCAACCATTCAACTCTAACTTAACTACTTTTATTAAATCAACTAATACCAACATAAGTCGTCCATTTATGAAAGCAACAACTCCCATCTACAACCTATTTAGCAAGGCTTTTTATTGATTGGTAAAATACAAAAATTAATAATAATAATAATAATAATAATAATAATAATAATAATAATAATAAAACCTTAAAATGTAACATTTGAACGAACCAACTTAAAATAATATAAAAATATATGTCGCGAAATTCAAACTTAATATAAAGCTTTAAACCTTAAATACAAGCCTCGTTAGACATATGGAAAATTATCATAACATGATTAAATCTAATCAAAATAAATTTGGGTTTGGAACTACAATTAGATCGAAAAAATTGGAAAATCAAAATCAGATTTGAAAGAAAAACAAGACCGAATCGAAAAAACTTAAATCCGAAGCAAAAAGCCAAATGCAAAAAAACCATGAAACCAAACCAAAAAAATACCAAACCACTTTCAAATTGGTCTGAAAGAAGCACTAGCATATTGAGACCGTCAACGTGTAGGTGTAATATTATATATAATATTATATATGAGAAGGTTATTTTGGTTGAAACTCATTTCACAATGTACCATGCGGAAATGATGATTATTGTTTACTTTTTTTAATTCATAGAATTTTTTTGAAAATTTAATTTTGTGAATAAATATATAAAAGATAATGCAAAAATTAGAAAAATAAATAATATGTAGATTGGGAGTAGCCGCTAGGTGCACAAATACAGTTTTAACAGCTTTGGGTTTTAAAAAATCGATTTTTTTGTTATAATCGATTTGAATTTTGAAGTTGTTTTGGAAGTGAAATTGCGTTAAAAAAACAAATTTTCAATTAAAAACGGTTAGGTTCAATTTTTTAGAAAAAAAAAAATCATGAAATGAACAAATTATAGGGTGTGTATTAAGAATCTGACCATGAAAAACTAAGATTTGTAAAATGATCATGACTTCCGTTAGACCCACTCTACAGAAGCCTTATAACTCTGAGGAATGTGAATATCAATGAGGAAATGAAGGAGCAGGGAAAAAGACAAAAAAAAAAGGTGGGGTACATACTTCCGCAGAAGATGGTTCCGCGGAAATGTTTTGTGTTCTACGGAACATTGATATCTCTGAAGAAATGGTAGCTGAAAGAATATAAATGATTCTGATAGTTCCTCGGGGATATATATGTAGAACACATCAACGTCTATGCGGAAATGGTTAATTCTTTATGGAAATGATTGGTGGAGCGGTTTTTAATCAATTAATGATGATTTTAAAGCGTTTTTATGTTATTATCGGTTTTTATGACTTTTGGTGACTAGAAACCATTTTTTTCGTTTTTTTAAATGCTTTAATCACTAAAAGTCATTTTTTCATTGTCTATGTGGAGAGTGTTATGAAAAAAAATGAGTTTTATGACTTTGGTGGAACATATAATTGATTCAAGAAAGATAATGGTACTCAAAATTGAAAAAAAAAAAAAAACAATTTAAAAAATGAAATTCTGCAGAGGCCTCTGTGGATCCGCATAAAGGCCATCTACGGATCTATTCTCCATCCACACACTTCTAAGGAAACATTCTTCGGCTAGCCATGGCAAAAATTAGGATTTCCTAACTCTTCTTATCAATTAAACTACAATACACCCTAAAGAACATATAATTGATTCAATAACAAATTTATAAATCAAATACGACGTTTCTATTGCCCATTAGGGTTTCATAAATTTCAAAAGAAGGATAAACACTTTCATGAGTTCCATAGCCATCAGATAGGACATCCTCATCTAGTCCTTGCACATTTTGGGGTCGCCTCACCATCTGTAACAACAATCTATCTTTGATCGTTCGATTGTTCGTGTTCCCACCATCGTTCCGTAGCAACGTCCCCCCCAAACAGCCTATGTTGTACGCACTTCCGCGGCAAAGCAAGTAGAAACCAATTTTTTTTTTGTGATTTTATAATATTACCCTTGTCACCTCAATTCCTCACAAATAGTATCATTTCTCAGAGGTTTAAGGCTTCCGCAGAGCCCCCCTCTACGAAAGTCATAGTCATTTTATAAAACATGATTTTTCATGATTAAAATCTTCAAACAACCCCTTACCTATGGTCAATTCATGAAATTTCTCTTTGGTTTTTAATTGTGTATATATATATATATATATATATATATATATATATATATATATATATATATATATATATATATATATGTATTAATTTGCAAATGAGGTTTGTGAGGGAGATGTATTGTTCATGTTAGTGGCAATCAATGTAATAAACAATAGGATGAAGGATAGTTCCGGATTAGAAAGAAAACCTGTCTTGTAAGTTAGACAAATCGGTCCATAACTATATATATCAAGTTTCAAGTTAGGTTCATATTTTTATAATATTTATAATTGTAAGTTATATAATATACATATTAATACATGCATATATTATGCATTTACCATTCAGTTTCCGTCCTAAATCTTATTTTCTTTTATATACTTTACCCTTAAATTATTTTTTATTTAACACTTTTATACTTATGTTTTTTTATCCCTTATATAATTTGTTTTGATTGTTTTCATTTTTACTGATGTTTTTTTTAATTAATATTCATTTGTGCATTGTATGAGTCAAAATACATTTTCAATTATAGCATCCTCCATACATAATTATTTTTGTTTTTACTTACTCTTTTAGTCCTTTATATAATTTGTTTTGATTATTTTCGTTTTTACTAATATTTTTTTTTTTTAATTAAGTATCTTTTGTCTATGAATCAAGATATATTTTCAAACTCTTTTTTTTTCTCCAACTTTGGCATATATTTGTTTTTGATGAAAACTTTATTTTATAGAGTAAATTATTGAAATCATCTTATGATTTGGTCAAAATTAAAAGTTTGGTCTCTAATTTTTTTTGCATTCGGATCGTCCATGTGGTTTGATTTTGTTGTGTTTTTTTGTCATTTACATACATAAAGTTAGAGACCAAACGTGCAATTTTGACCAAACCATAAAGACAAAAAATGCAACAAAATAAAACTATATAGACGAACGAAGTGCAAAAAAAAAATTAGTGATCAAACATGCAATTTTAATCAAACCATAAAGACGATTTCAGTAACATACTCTATTTTATATTATTAAAACCTATTTCTAAAGTTGACCCGGTTATAGGTCGATTCAAATAAACGTTAAATTTTGTACACCTCTACACCCAAGTTTGGCACGGTCCATATTAGTGATTTGGAGCTTTAGACGACCCGTTAGTCTCTTGGTCGCCGTACCCGATACGGATTGTAATTTTCTTACACATTTCACTCCTACTCCTATCTACGCGTTTAACCCCAAAACCCTACTACTGCTTCTCTCTCTCTCTCTCTCTCTCTCTCTCTCTCTCTCTCTAGTTAATCGGAACAATGGCAGAGCAACTAACGGAGGAACAAATTGCTGAGTTCAAGGAAGCTTTCAGCCTCTTCGACAAAGATGGAGATGGTATATATAATACATATACAGTTTTTCTCATTTTCCTTCTTACATATCTGTTTATTATTTTTGAATATGCCTGTTTATGTAGATCCGTACTTGTTTGCTTGTATGTTTTTAGTAGATCTGTGAGGATTTGTTGTTTTCGATTGTTTTGGAGTTATTCCATATATAAACACAAAAACAGTGACTACTCGATCTGCATTTGGTCTTTACTATTAGTATTATTTTTAAAAAAATTCAGCGCTTCAGAAATATTTATATCGTTTGATTTTATACGACGAAGTAAAAGCAATTATGCTGGAAGAATCGCAATTTTTATGCCTCCCTCCTCAATCCTCATCATATGCAAATGTATAACGACTATAGTGTTTGAGGAAAGTATATCATTAATTATATCATCATATATATGCTCTGAATGGTGCGCTGGATGTTATAATTTGATGTTAAGAGTTCAATTTTTATATATGTTGAAGAACAGGTTGGGATGTAATCTGTTTAAAATAATGATATAATGCCTGCGAAATTTTAAGATTGAATTAGGGAGAAAAGAATTGGGCATCTGGACTATTCCTTTAAACCTAACCTTTGAAAAGCAAAAATATTAAAGGGTTTGAGACAAAAAAAAAAAAAGGGATATATATTTTGTTGGGGATATTAATATTAATTGAGATTTTGTTTATATATAATAGGGTGTATTACGACTAAAGAGTTGGGAACAGTTATGAGGTCATTGGGCCAGAATCCTACTGAAGCTGAACTGCAGGATATGATCAATGAAGTCGATGCTGATCAGAATGGAACCATTGATTTCCCTGAGTTTCTCAATCTCATGGCCAGGAAAATGAAGGTCACTCTCACTCTCACTTTTAAATTTTAAAATTCTTAGAAACAGAGACCTTATCCAGTTTTGTATTGTTTTGTTTGGTTTAATGAAGGACACTGATTCTGAGGAGGAACTGAAAGAAGCTTTCAAGGTGTTTGACAAGGATCAGAACGGATACATTTCTGCTGCTGAAGTATGAATTTTTACTTTTTTTTTTTTGTAAAAATATTTTTATAGAATTAAATCTGTGCATATTTATTTATGTGATTGATTGTGCACAGCTTCGGCATGTGATGACAAACCTGGGGGAGAAGCTGACGGATGAAGAAGTGGATGAGATGATAAGAGAAGCTGACATGGATGGTGATGGTCAAGTAAACTATGAGGAGTTTGTGAGGATGATGCTTGCTAAGTAGTAATAATAATACTCATTTGAATACTTATTCTGCTGTTAATTAGATTTAGACAGACTCACTCACTCTTGCAATACCTACCAAATGTTTCTCCTAAACCTCTCTCTTATTTTATTGGAAGAATTATTTCTCAACCCAAAATATGTTACTTTTTATCTATTTATATATAATAATATATTATTAGGTGCCAAATTATGTTAACGGATACAAAATATCCAATCACGTTTCAAACAGATTTAAAAAGAAATCAGTTTTAATTTGAGTATTTATACAATGATACATTAAGTTTTATATTGTTGAATAGTTACACAAATTTACATCGATTCTAGTTGCATAAATTTACATCGATTCCTTAGATTTTGACAACTTTAATAGAATTATCTTTAACAACTCACTAATAACATATGATATGAGCAATGGCGGCCCTTGGGTGTGCTTGTCATGCCATTGTATAATGCCTTCATTCAATCGTAAGACCGGAAGGAGCTGGGTGCGGGAAGAGGGGTGAGACCTTTCCTGCTTTGATGAACACCGCACCAGCAGTGCGGGAAGGCCTGCACAGGATAGGGGGTGAGCCGGTGAGGGGCTTGGTTGTTGCGTGCACTCTCCTTTCGTGATTGGGTAGAAACAGTTTTTTATTTTATTTTGAAAGTAACCATTCTTTAAAGGTAAAATGTGATTTTTTTTTGTTTTAAATTTCAACAGCTAAATGGTTTAATTTTTTTTTACCCTTATTTACCTTCAAACAAATCATCTACAACCTCTAATTACTTCAAAAAAAAAAAAAAAAAATCCCGACAATTAAACCCCATTCTTCGATAGAAGGAATAATAACTCATGTTCGGAGTTTAAACACCCATACTCGAAGCATTTTTGTTATCAATTCATCATCACAAATACTTTATCGTCCCCAACTAGATGCTTTTATTCAATTTCCACTACAATTTCAATACCAAAATGTTAGACAATATTACTCGATCCATGTTCCAAATGTTATTCCGCAAATGTTTTTAAATTTTGTTGTTTTTCCTGATCAACATTCATCAAATCAACCTCAAATCCAAAATCAAACTCAAACTCAAACCTAACAATAATTCTAACTTGTCGATGAGTTGGATGACACGAAAGAAAAAGAGATGGTTCCTGAAACTCAACTCACACCACCCTTACAATGACGCAAAGGAAAACAACAAACACGCAAGGGTGTCGCACAAACGGGAAGACAAAAGTCGACATCATGGCTTCCACAAGAAAAGCTAGTTTTGGTACAAGCTTGGGTTGACATTTCTGAGGATTCGAAGACGGGAAATGCACAACCGGGCGATCGTCTTTGGTTTCACATTTTAGAATGGTTTCAGGAGGAGCTAGAAAAAGATGACAACTGTCGTACGAAAGACCAACTGAATTCGAAGTTTCAAGAAATAACAAAGGGGTTTCAAAAATAAATGGGTTGTACAACAACCTACAAACCCAACAAAAAAGTGGCCAAGGGCGATGAAGAAATATTTCAAAAAGCTTTGCAATTTTACCTTGAGGAAGTTGGAAAACCATTCAAGTAACACGATTGTTGGAAATTATTGGTTAAAAGTCTTAGGTGGAAAAAATACGAGCGAGATTTTATTTTTGGAGTACAACAATCAAAGCGAGCGAAAACGGGCTCTAGTGGTTGCACAACTTTCTCCGATGCTCGGGTCGGTCTAGATTTAAATCATGAGGACGAACTCGAGTTAGAAGAAATTGTCTGACCGATGTGTAGGGACAAAGCAAAGAAGAAGGGAATATGGACTTCTTCGGGTGCATCGTATTTCAGCATGTACGTTGATGAAATGCGAAAAATAACAGCGTCATTTGATCGATACAATCTTAATTTTGCTGAACGTTTGACGTTGGACAAAGAAAAAGAAGAAGCAAGGAAGAAGAAGCGAGCGAATAGACAAGAAATTGAGGACATAAAGTTCTTGATGCAAAACACCGACCATCTCTCGAAACCGGCTCTCAAGCTTATAATAAAGAAGAGGAAAAAAATTATGAAAAAAATATTTTCCATAGGTTCGGGTCGAACCCGAACCTGACGAGAAAACCCGAACCTCGAAGATTTTGGGTCGGGTCGGTCACTCTTATCGGGTATCGGGTCGGGTTTCGGGTCATTATCGGGTTTTTAGTTCGGGTTTGGAGCAGGGATTGGGGTATGAATGCTCCGACCCGATATATATATATATATATATATATATATATATATATATATATATATATATATATATAGTGATATTTCATCCCTCTAACCCATTTCAGCCACTGGAAGACTCTAACCCTAAATCCCATCACGTATTCCCAATTTCACACTATTGCTTCTCTTCCCATTATTGTGATGGATTTAGTTACAATATTAGACTTTAGTAATTTCTGTTTGGTTCACTTATGTTAAGAACTTATTTGTATTTTAAACCATTGTAAGGTTTTAATTTCTTAATTGTTTCATTGTAGTTTCCAAAAAAAATTCTACCACCATTTTCGGGTCTATATCGGGTTTCGGGTCGGGTTTGGGGATATTTTTAGCGCCGACGAGGCGCCCCGATAAGAAACCCATTGGGTTTCGGGGACAAATATAAATATCGGGTTCGGGTATGGGATATGCCGCCCCGCCCCGTTGCCATTTCTAGGTTGTTGTTGATTTGTTTGATTTTTTGTTTGTTTTTTTTTAATATTCTAATTTATTAAATCTTAGGTTTATTGTAATTTTTATTTTAATTAATGAAATGCATTTTTTTAATTAAATTTTTTTGTTTATTATTAATTTATAAATTATAAATCATAAAAATGAATTAATTTTATTTAAAAAAATAAAAAAAACAAACAGTGATGGAAGCTTCCCACCGGTTCTTTGGGTTTAGGTGAGAAAAATGAAAGTGATAAAAATTGTGTTGTAACCCATAAAAAATGAAGGAAGTTTCCCACTCATTCATCCGATGTAAGAGGTTCTTGAAATCAGTATAGTAAGGTATACAGGTCTTTTTCATTAAAAAAAATGAGTATGTATTGTTAATAAAAAATTAGTCACGATATAATCATACATAATATTTGAAATCATCTTAATTATAACAAAAAAAAAGTAAAATTCTATTTCAAATTCTAAATCAGCTTGGGCGCTATCAACAATTTAGTAGTTTTACAGTATCCACATTCAAGAAAAATACAAATTGTATTCCTAATAATAATATCTAGCAAATCTTTTATTTTTAATAAAAGTCATAGAAAGTAAAGAAAACAAATCTTAAAAATCAGAAGTTTAATATCTAAGGGTGCGTTTGGTTGTGGAAAATTTTCTAATTTTCTAGAAAAATTTTACAAGAAAAACGAAAATTTTGAAAACGCGTTTGGTTCGTTAAGTTTTCCAAAATTTTCCAAAAAAATGAAAATTTTCAGTTTTCCAAATTGTATGTAAATTAGAAAATTGATTTTTATAGTTTTTCAAAGTTTTCCAAATTTCTAAGATGAAAATGAAAAGTCCCCCGGTTTCAACCAAACGCATTTTCTAAAATTTTCATTGAAAACTGAAAACGAAAACTCAACTCTATTTTCTGAAACATTTTCTTAAAAAATGAAAACAGTTTTCCATAACCAAACGAACCCCTAAAAAACCCTAACTTTCAAAGTCATTGTCTAGCATCAAATCAACTTGACATATTTGACTTTATCATTGGTATTCTTCTATGGGTGCTCCTATTCGCACGAATAAATTCGTGTATAATCAATGATTACAATCAATCCCATCCCATTTGTTATTTTATTTTGGCGATTTCAAATTGTTTTCGTATTTTTTGATATTACCTTCTTTAACTTAGATGCATGTTACAAAATACATCCTTATATATTTTATTCACTCAAATTTCAATAACTTATATATATATATATATATATATATATATATATATATATATATATATATATATATATATATATATATATATATATAGTTAGGTTCATGTGAGACGGCCTAATTTTGTGAGACCGTGAGAAACATTTTTTTTAATTTTTTTTTTATTTTTTAAATTTTTTTTAGTTAATTCAAGTTCCGAAAATAATATTTAAAAAAAGAATTTTTTGATTTTTTAATTTATTTTGCATTTTAAAATTATTTTTAGAATATGTACAGTGTAATATTCTATTTAGAATATTTCACGTATTTTTCAAAAAAAAAATAGATTTTTTTTAGTTAATTCAAGTTCCGAAAATAATATGTAAAAAAAAAAAAATTTTTTTTTAGATTTTTTCATTTATTTTGCATTTTAAAATTGTTAGAACAAAGTTCTTTCAGGATCGTATGATTCTAAGCAAAATATTAATAAGAACGTAAATAAGAACACAAGTATTGCGATGAAGATGTCGAATGATTAATGCAAAATACCCCAGAAGAGCTCGATTAAGAACTTCAATCTGTAGAGGTAAAATTAGGGTTACAAGAATCAACGTGAATGACTAATCTCTTATATACGCATACATGCATGCATATATTTATAATAAAACCCTAACAACTTATCTAGATAAAGGAAACTATTCTAGATAACTACGGATGGATAAGCCCAATCCGTTTACAAAACAAATAATCCAAGACGCAACACTTAAAATATTCAACAATCTCCCCCTTTGCGTCTTTGGAGCAGAATCTCTATTCTCTTTTAACACCAGTGGTCTTCTTCACCATTTCAAATATCCTCGGTATAATGGCCGGAACATGTTGTCTAAACGTTATATACCACTGAAGCATATCTGTAAAAATTTTCTTGTCTGATGCTGAGTTCTGTTTGCATCGATGAATGATGTTGATAATATGCTCCAAACAATCTGTTGAAAACAGATGCTTGTCTACCAATGCAAACAGAAACTTAAGCCTGTCACCCTTAGTGAACATGACAGTCAAGTTAGTTGAATCGATCTGCCCCAACTTCATTTTATTTACATCACCGGGCTTAGATGTTGGCTTGACTGTCGACTTTTTATTCATCACCCTTGCTATCTCCTGATCCATTGTGGCAAGCTCATGGATATAGGAGGCCAACATCCTTTTAAGATGTTTCAAAATCGGCACATACTCTCGTTGATTTGAGAGCAGAATGTTGTATAGCAAGATCCAATCATGAGGATTAAGATTGGGAAGATCTGCCAGAGATATGAAATATTCCGTGTTTGTA